TGGTGAGTAATAATAGAGTAAATTCGAAAAGCTCACGGTGTGCTCACTTTTTACTCCCCAAACGCTCGGAATTTTCTAAGTGTACATCGAGTGTCAAAAGGTGGCCAGAATGAGCCTCCTTCTGGAGCACCAATCGTACATAGGCAATCGTATTCAGAAATGCAATTCCTGGATTCCTGAATGTGACTGCTAAACAATGCTTCATTTAAAAAAGAAGGCGGTAGAGAATATGTTCACTTTTTTTTTTTCTCCCGAAATTCATCAAACAGGGCTGAAACAAGACTAAAAGTAACTATGATAGTCATATTCGATGTTTTTGGTTTGCTGAATTAACTTAGCCTAGTCGCCTTGCAGGTTATTATGGCATGTGGACTTTCATTGGTGGTCTCGCGTAGCTCTGCGGATTTAACAAGCCACCGCACATGTTTTCGAACGATAGTGGCTTTTGGCTACGCTGCGTGGACTGATTACAATGACAGTGAGAGAGCTCACGCGATCGCACTGTGCGCGGGCGTGTCGTGTGTGTGCGTGCGAGCATACCACGGACTACTACGGAACACAATAGATTTTATTATATGGATGCCAGCGATCATTTGTTGGCAAGGTCATTGGGGACAAGGATGAACAGGACGAACCATCCCCGTCAAGTTCGAATGTTGATAATTGAAAATTGATTTCCCAAGAAAATCCTGAATTAATCCATACCAACCTACACGTGTGAGTGAGCATCCTCTTTGGGACTCAACAACCGTTCTGTATTAGAAAGAGAAGTACCGCACAAAGAGCATGTTGAATAGGCATACCCCATGACGCCGAGAGAATATCAAATATCGGATGCATATACCATCCCTCATAACATGGCGTCTCGACGCCTTTCCAACCGTGGTAGAGAAGAGAAGGAATGCGATATGCAGCAGAGACGAAGGGGTCTCCGACACGCCCATGTTACTGCATCCGCTCTCAAACCATTCGCTCCGTGTGCATTGCATGCTTCCGAGTCTCGTAGGCGTTGTCATCCGACATGAAGGTGGCAGGGAAAAGCGTTTTCATCGTCTTCCTCCTCGTACCAGGTTTGTCGGCTTCCATAGAGCTCGAGGGGATTGTCTAGGGTGTGAATCTAATCGAGTTCCTAGGTTTCCATCCGGAAATTCTTCGCTTGGAAATCGTGGGAAATTCCTGTTAGATATTTCATGCCATTTTTTTTCAAGATTTATCAGAGAGCAATGTCCTGGGAATGTCCCACAAAGTACTAGTCAAAGTAATAGCCTCATCCCTGCTTGCATATTCTCAGAATTTTTTAAGATTCGTCGCGAATGTCTTCTATCTTGATCCATTATTATTCTCTCTCCTTATCCTTGCCGGCGTCCCACCTTTTACAGGCATAGTCTCCGGCGAGATGCAGAGAAGCGAGAAGAGAAGTAAGAGACAGTCCATGCCTCTTCTGAAAGTTCTCGGCCTCCACGTGAGTTTCTCGTCGAGTCACTCCAATTGCATGGTCTTTTACCTTGTGCTTAGCCAGCGTCTGATGCCCCTTAGTCGACTTAATCGGACTTTTGATTTCTTCTTTGCTTGAACGGAATCTGGTGACCTTTATTGTTTTATCCCATGTGGCTCCTACGGTCGGGTTTTACATAGCCCTTACAAGAGCGGAATCGCGTCCTGCGCTTATTAAAATATTCACCCCCATCCATTCTGAGAGAAATAAATTAAGTTTCCATGGAAACTTGCTACGTTTCCAGACAATGTTTCGGGTGGGAAAAACGAAGGCACGTTTCCCCAAGGATAGAAAATTTGTTCATCAGTCCTCAGGAGATATTGCGATAAAAGAAATGCCCTCATTATCATTAACATGGATGGGATCCTCATCCCCAAATTCCCTGCGCAACAGCAATTTAAAATAATTTCCCTCCTACCACTTAATTTTCAAAATCCTGGAATGGCAGAAGTGCAGAATTCTTGTACTATTGATACTTCCTGGCCTCCAACCCAGCTAGCATTGATATCGGCTGGGACAGGATCGGCGCCGTAGGGAATGAATCTGCAGTAGACGAGTAAGAATATTGCAACTATCAGAGAATCAACTCGTCAATTATAAAAAAAAGCCTCTTCATACTTTCCAGCCGAAGATGGACATTCGTCAGGAGGAAGGGCAGAGAGGCCGAAAAGGAGACGCGTTTTTTCATTAAATATTTAACTATTCTCAGCCATTGTTAATAACCCATGTAATGCAATATAGGATAGTAAATGCTTATTTTGCTTTATCTTTCCCAAAATCTTTTTCTCTCTATCCATATTCAGTAATTAAATGTGAAAATGTGATTTTTTAGCATGTACAAGAAAGTAAATAACTGCATTGCATATAGGATCTTCATATAGTGGATGCGATGACTGCCATATGTTAATGAATGCACTTTATTTTCTAAGAATAAGTGGCTAATACTTCTTCATTTCTCAGTATGGCGAAAGAAACTGACATAATAAATGCATATAACGGATAAAATCATTCCAATTAATTACTTGTGAGCGTGTAACTGCTCCCATTCGATATAATGCTCGTGAATAATCACTTCCAAATATGTGCTCGTTTCATTAAGAATAAAGATAATCTCTCTCCGCTGAAAACTGTAACTCATGCGGAGGTCAAAACCGAATGCCTAAAAGCTCTGGAATTGTTACAATTTCATGGATTTCATATGGTGGTTTTCCCTCTCGGCTTCTTAGGACCCTCCGTACCTGATGAGATCGGGGGAGGATTACGAGACCAACACGAAATACGAGGGTTTCCTGGTGGACATGCTGGACCAGTTGGGGAATCTGGTCGGCTTCGAGTACGAAATCGACATGGTCAAGGACGGTAACTATGGAAGCTACAACAACGCGACTCAGACCTGGACGGGACTCATCGGTGGAATCATAACTGGTGTAATTATATCAATTTTTATCCTCCTCTTCCCATTGAACTCGTTTGTATGAATGGACCGCAATTTGACTCCGGAGCTAATCCAAAAAAAGAAAAATGTGTGCACTAAAGGAAATCCTCGATGTAAGTCACTTGCATCTTAGAAGGGAAAGACTATCTGCAAAGAATACTGCCAGGTCCCTAAATCCATTGATTTGAGGGCCCCGAAAATGTAGTCTGGTTTCCTCTACGGTTGTTGGAACTCTATTCGCATGCTTCTCATATTGCAACTGTTACATAACTTTCGCCGGCTGGGGACGCCCTCCTGTATGAAAGAAAGCTGTGTTCACCGAGCCCTCACACCCCATCCATTCCCTTTTCTATACCCTCGTATGATAAACATATGCGATCGGCTCTGCTTTTCGTAGCATTTCTAACATCACAACACAAAGCAGAAGAAGCATCAAATAGTATCATTTAAAAAAATTAAGAAATAAAACGAGGATCTCCACAGTTAGAGAAGCCCAATTTGGTGTTCTACAATGGAAGTTCCATGTTGTCTTCGACGAGATCCCAAGTTTTTCCTGGTATACTAAACCATATCATAAGAAACGTGGACTACAGGATATATATTGAGATGAATAGCAGTACTGAATCATAATGTACGTTTATAATATGGGATCACATACTGTAAATTGAAACGACAATGACGTTGTCCTTTCCTAACTTCTCCATGTCCTATTCAGAGCCATTGTTTAATGCCTGAACCAGGAAGCAGACCTGGCAGCAGCTCCTCTCACGATCACGTCGGGTCGTTCGGATGCGGTTGAATTCTCGAAGCCCTGGATGTACACTGGCATCAGCGTGCTCTACAAGGTCAGGAAAGCTTTTCCGTCTTGGTCATCGGAACACTTCCAACATTCGGTCGAGGCATACAGTTGCGGAAAATATTTGGATGCTAACACGGTGCACCTTCGAAGTGACAATACACTTTCATAAGAACAATTTCTTCCATTTTCGATATAAAAATGTAATTTATTTTCATGGGATTTTTGCAGCATTTTTCATTTCATTTTTTTTAATTAAGAATTTTTGTATATGACTTGAATTGTTTAATAAAAGATCTACTCTTAACTAATAATGAAACTACATATACCATTATGCGATATTTTTAATTTAATTAATTTTTTTTAGCTAGGAAATTGATACTTCTATCACAGTATCCAGTTGAATACCACTGAACGAGCAAATTTACATGATGAAAGTCTTACACATTTTTCATAGCATCTTCCCGTGGACTCTGGAAGCGGATGGATGTTCCTGCGTCCCTTCACATTGTCCACGTGGATAGCCGTGGCGATCATGTATGTGGGCGTATCGTTAGCGTATTGGGTAGTGGCCAGGTGCTCCCCCGAGGAACGGCGGAGGTCCACCGAGAGCGGAGAACCTGTCTTTGGCATCTTCAATACCTTTTGGGCCGCCTTCACTCCTCTTCTCCTTAGGGGGAATCAGGACATGCCGCAGGTATGGTCCACTATCCATGGGCTTCCTTTTTTCACGTACGACTTTATACAAAAAGAAACGTCTCTTGCAACCGGACGGTTCATGGAAGAAGGCATACATTTTTGGAGGTTTCATTGATCAGGATACAAGGTCTTAGGAATATGTTCATTCATTCTTTAGTGTTCTCTCGACTGCTTATCAAAAGTTAATTGAAGTTCGATTGCAGCAGGGATAAGAGCATTCTCGGATATTCCTGATTCTGGGTAACGGACTCAGCCTCGGGAGGTGGGAAGCCTAGCCTCGAGCGACAAAACAATAGATAGTGTAACTATAGGCAACATCCCCATTTATTCCTGCAGAATAATTTGCTGCAGTAAATTTGAAATGAGAGAGGGGGGGGGGGAGAGAGGTCTTCTGCACGATGTACTCTAGAAGTGGAAGGAAGTGACTCTGAATGCTACTAGTAGCAGTCAGTGCACACACACATTCTACGTAAAAGCGTTTAAGGACGATTTGCTCAATACTGATAAGTCTGGAAACTTTTATCCCCTTTCTTCACACTCCAGAGTCCGTTTGGGGATCCGTCAAAGTGGATCTCTCAGCACCGTTCGTACACAATTTTGTCTTAATATCCCAAGGTCACCTTTGACTTATTTCATCGCTCGCAATCTGTACTGCCACCATTCACAATTGATGAAATCGAATAGTACCCGCATTTACTCGACTTCGAAGCTTTCTCTGCCCCCTTCATTCGCCAACTTGCGGCTAGTCTTCCTTCGATAGGCAACACGCGACTAATCAAGTTCACTTCATCTTGAGTCTCCTCGAGCCGGCGCTGAAAAAATTGCCAATAATCTATCATTTACGGTGGAGGGTGATTACTGGGAGAGAGGTGACTAATCAACCTCACCACAGTTTTTCTCAAGGATCGAGCTTTCCCGTCTACAAACTGGAACCCTCTCATCTACTAGGGATAAATATATTCCAATGAAGTCAAACTGATCCGTATCTGCAATCGTCTCACCTTCATATGCTAGAGTGCTTCATCGTCACGCATCCGTTGTCTCTTTGAGTGGGATTCATTGTAATAAGAGAGTAGTGCCAGCATATTTCTGTTTGCCATTATCTTCCCATTGTTCCCTCTAAGAATGGACAAAACAATGCCATCATCGTGTAATGAAATAGTGCGAAGACCATATTTGAAAGACTACAAAACTTTCTTCAACCAACCCTACCACTCTCCCCCTCATCTCAACGGACTCACAAACGTTAGACCTAGGCCTAACCCACACGGAAAGGACTGAATTCGCGTCAGGCCTTGCCTACCTTTTTTGTTCAAAAGAATCTCAATCAGGCCTATTGGGTCTATTTCGAGTTTTTCGAAATATCTCGGTGAGGACGTGTAAATTTAGACCTATCTGGAGTTTCTCCAGCTATCTCGACGAGGTCTGTGTACAGACTTCCTCCGAAATTCAAATGCTCGTTGGACGCTATTCTCAGCAAGAATGTCCATGCACGGTATATCCGTATCCCACCACATCGATCGATAACCGCTAGCCACTGTTTTAATCTCAGCTCATCCCATGAACTCAGCACAAAAATGTATCCTTCATTTAAAAAAAAACGGAAGACCTTGGCTCTGATACAAATGTCATGAATCCGATTTAACTCCAGCACGATATCCGGCAACTGTGGGGGACGGGACAAGAGTCTGGAGCTAAGCCTAAATATACAACTAATTTTATTAGCTCACAGCGAAATGGTGCATCGCCAAAAAAGGAAAGGGTTCGCTCAACAGTAATTTCTTTTTGATTAGGCTATCTCCCCCCAAAAATTCCCCAGGTTTGGCTACCTAATAAGGTTGGGGAGTGGAAAAGGAAAATACTTGTCGGCACGAAATCGGCATCCGCTAAAAACGAGATACTGATTTCTCCATATCCTGGGGAGATTTGACAGAATTTCGGGGAAGAGATTTTCTGTCGAAAGGGTAAGAAGTATACCCAATTTCTCCATATGCTTTAAGAGAGGAATTATAGGGAGTGAAATTTTGTAAGGGGAAGGGGTTGAAAAAAGGGGAATAGGCACTACTGCGCATATTGATGAGTGCTGCGTCCTTCAGCAAAGTTTGCAGAAGGGAAGAAAAGCTGGGAAAACTGCCTTCGATTTCCTATTTTTCTTTTTGCCATTCTTTAAGTCGCTGGGAGTATACAGCTGGGATTTGAATTAGAATATTGCACGATTAAATGCGGATATAATTATACAAAATTTCCCTAACGCTGCCTGTTGTAAAAAATGAAATATTGATAAATCAGACACATTGCTTCATTTTGAAGCCTGCAACTATGGGGTAAATTCGATATTGTCAGCTGTAGTAAATTCATGTTTTCATTGTGGAGCTCACAAGTAATGTATGCTTCATGTGTTGCACATGGCCGTACATAATAAAATAAACTATCGTGCTTATCTCGCAGGCCCTGTCAACGAGGCTCCTGACGGGGATTTGGTGGTCTTTCTCCTTCCTCATCCTCGTCCTCTACAGCTCGATGGTGGCGAAGGAGTTCACGACGGGGCATTATAGACCCAAGGTTTCTTCCTGGAAGGACCTTGCCGATGGAGCCGTCAATTTCGGGACCATCAAAGGGGGTTCCACGCAACGGTATTTCAAGGTCAGTCGACGGTAGCAGAAAAGAACAGACGTTTGGAAGGAAATAATGCCGAAGGGGAAGACAAAGAATACTAAACATTTAATTTTTTTTTCGTCTTTAAAATATTTTTAAAATCTTGTTTCCGTTCGTTTTCTAAAAGTTTTTCGAATATTTTCTTGAAGTACAATTCGATGTTTGACAGACGTCGCAGATTCCCGAATACCAGAAGATCGCCGAATTTCTGGCTTCACACCCGGAACTCTCATCCTCGAGCTTAGCTGAAGGAGTGGATCGGGTGCTAAAGAATCCGGGGACATTCGCCTTCATCATGGAGACTACGTCCGCCGAGTACCTTGCAGCCACTCGATGTGAAAACCTTGTCGTTGTGGGACCCGAATTTCATCGAAGTGCCTATGGCCTTGCTTTGAGGAAGGGTA